CTGTTGATGCCTGCTCTGCAAAATGAGGCGAGTCTGGCCGGCTCAGACAACAAAGGCCGCCTGGCAGACCCTGGCCTGTCGAGCTGGCTTGCAGACTGACCGGAAGGCAACGGAGACTCTTTGCATAAAAATGCCCATCCTTGGCACATTTAGATTGATACATGCTGGGAATAGGCCAATTAATTTTTGCTTATAAGTAGACTTTCAAGACTACCAGTAGATCATTTATACATAAAGTATATTCACCCTATTTAGTTCAAGGTGATAAGGGGACTGATGGTTGAATTTTCCCCCAATGCTATGAATAGACATGACGTTTTCATTGAATTTCATATAGCCTTGTTTACTCAAATGCTATTCCCATCCAGGCAGAAGTGGCCTGCGGTTTCGACCTTTCCAATGTCTTAGCAACACTCCCAACTGGACTCGAACCATGATCTGTCAATGTATGATCTCGACTCGTTAATCACTGCACCACATTTCCACTAGTGCCCCTGGGTCAGAAGGCAGATGTGAATTTCAAAGGAGGCCAGGCATTTCCCATGTCGGGATCATACGCTACAAGATCATGGTTCGAGTCCTGTTGAGGGTGTTGCTAAGACATAGGCAAGGTCGAAACCACAGGCCACTCCTGCCTGGATGGGAATAGTATTTGAGTGAACAAGGCTATATGAAATTCAATGAAAACGTCATGTATACACATAGCATTGTGGGAAAATTCAACCATCAGTCCCCTTATCACCTTAAACTAAATAGGGTGAATACACCTTATATATAAATGATCTACTGGTAGCCTTGAAAGTCTACTTATAAACGAAAATTAATTGCCCTATTCCCAGCATGTGCCAAGGATGGGCATTTTCATGCAGAGAGTCTCCGTTGCCTTCCGGTTAGTCTGCAAGCCAGCTCAACAGACCAGGGTCTGTCAGGCGGCCTTTGTTGTCTGAGCCGGCCAGAGTCGTCTCATTTTGCAGAGCAGGCATCAACAGTGGCCAATTTTCGAATAATTTAGTGACCATTCAGTCAATTTTATTTCACACCCGGCTCTTTGTTCCCCGGTTGGAGACAGGAGGAAGCGTATATACAGCACTTAGAGATAAGCCGATGAGTCTTCTCGATCCCTTGGCTGAAATGCGACTGTAAAAATGATGAAGATGTCCGTCGTATGACAGACGGAAACTAGCACCTCTTTACCGGAATCAAATGAGATTTCCATGGCAACAGAGTCAGCAGGAGTGCTCCAGTGAAATCAACTGACATTTGGCGAAGAAGGAGAATGTGCCATCGTTTTCAGGTCGAATCCACTTTCAAATCTCTTCATCACATGCTTTCGCTCAAAATGGCCGTATTCTTGAAATGACTTGTTGCTTAAGGCAACGAAAACTTCATCGCCAACCTTAATCAAAGGACCCAGACATGCATGGGGCCAAGTGCCTTGCATTGGCATATAATGGCATAGAAAGTGCTTATCTGTGCGTTGCACCGCAAAGCGCATCGTAAGCACTCTTGTTGCTAGGGTTCTGCTAACCCGGCAAGACAAGAGGGATACCAAGAGTCATTCTCCATATATAAGTAGACTTTTGAGACTACCAGCAGACGAAATTGGGTGAAATCATTTTATATACCATGAGCAATGTCCGTTCAAGCCAACCTCGGATAAACCTCGTGCATAATCGTTCTTATGCCTTCTTGCAAAGTGTTCATTTTTCCCCTCTAGTGGTTTCGTGCGCAAATAAGCGCCACCCCGATGACCACTGAGAGCACCGGAGGAGGAGGGAAGAAAGACCGATTATAACAATGACTACTAATAACTCTGGTACATATGAAGAAAATCTGAGTTTTGAAGACTGTTTAATCCCATTTCGAGGGAAAGCGTGAATGAAAATAATCGAAGAACCATCCCAAGAAAAAGAATTATATAATTGATTTGGCCTCATCATAGCAACTTGGTCGTATTTTCAGGGAGACCAAGATGAACGCATCTTGACCGGAATCCTCTGCCACAGGATCCATAATAATTTCCAGTGTCAAACCTTGGACTTGGAGTTTGGAAAGATACAATGTTCTCAATCCAACGCAAGAAATTATCATGGAAACTATGGCAAACGACTCTGGACAAAGTGTTTCCATCTTGGTCTCTCCGACAATACGACAATACTTTAATAAAACGAAAAGAGACCGGGAGCATATAAACAAGCCCCAGCATCCAGGTCTTTCCTCTCTTTGCGTAAGTTGTATAACCCTCTCTAATGAGGTGTGTTGTGAGACAGACGAAAGCTTAGCACGTGCTCACTGCACTCGTGAGGAAGATTTCCACAATGCTCCAACAAACCAAGAGGAATGTGCCGTCATCTACCGATGTGATCAAACTTGGAATCTCTTTCCTCCACAGTTTCACTCAAAATGCAAGTATGCCGAATAAGTAAATGTAGAGAAGGATGAACAGCATATAAGCAAAACAATCCTCTCAGACAAGCATTCAGCAACAGTCAGAGCTCGGGAGCTTTGGAGAGGGTGCAGGCTGGATATCTTATGCAATAGGAATTCGAGGCGGTCTTTGGGGATAAAAATATGTACAAAAATAGAATATCCAATAGGTGAGCTTGAAAATGCGTATGATCTTGAAACCTTTTGCACCTGAATATACTCCACTTTTAGGAGCCCGAAACTAATATTGCTCTAGCCTCGGTGATACTAATACACAGTAATTTTCACTTTTCAATCTGCTGCCATTAAAGAAGTTCGCCTATTGTGTTTGAGGCTACTCTCTAGCTTCCCTTGTTACTTGTCGCGAGACTTGCTCAATGATGGCGGCCACGTACGAGATCGTGCCAAAATCCCAAATCGAGATCATACTCCTTTTTATAGTCGCCGGGCTGCGGTTACTATGGCGTAGACCTTTCCAATGCACCAGAATCGGTGGCTTCTCATCCGATGATAATTCTTTATGCAAAAGAGTACAAAGAGGAGATCAGATATGTTGGGAAACATGTGACCTATTTGATGGTCGGTGGAATAGCCAAGATACCCTCGCATCGATACTTTGCAAACGGTTCATTTAGTGCATGTATATGTTCTCTTGTGACACTGCATCAGGCGACACTATCAAGAGTACGTGAAGTCATAATCGGGGTTTTGGGCCTGGAGACTGACTGAATTCATGAATTACAGGCTTGGTAAGGATCTATCACCTGGCAAGGAATGTTCGGCCTACTTATATTCAGCATGAGTAGGTTTCGAAGCTATCCTTAATTGTTGAGTAGGCATTTATTCGCCCTAGGTCACTTCCTGTGATTTAAGGATATATAATGTAGTTGCGTTCACATTGATATGAATAAGAGCTTCTCTAAATGCTTTTTCCTCGTTTCATCAGCATCCCCAAAAAGATTCGAAAACCTACTCGAGCTAGCAACTAATGTCCAGACGGAGTGAATAAACCTTTCGAGACGCAGAGCTATGAAAGGGCCTACTAATTTTACTGTGGGAAGACTTTGTCTATTATTTGTTAAATGGCCTTAGGCAAGGTTGAATAACTCTATCTTCCTGACCAGTATAATATTAATATGAGATGTATTCACCTTATTTCGTTTAAGGTGATGAAGGATTGATAGTAGAATTTTCCTACAATGATATGAGTAGAGCCAGGGTTTCCATTGAATTTCACAGCTCTACTAATATCATTTTGGTAAAATTCTACCACTAGTCATATATCACCTTAAACGAAATAAGGTGAATACTTCTCATATTACTAATTTACTGGTAGTCCCGAAACTCTACTTAAATACGAAAAACAGCAAAATATAAGTTACATTTTACAATGCATCCCTTCCAGAAAGGGCTTCAACTATACCAATTTGGTGCACTTTGTGGTGCACATAGGTTCGGGTTGTCTGGATTGATGGTTGGTCAAACCGAGGAGTCGGTATAGCCAGACTAGCGATGAGGTGTGGCTTACAAAGCCTGACTTTTGTGATAACTTCAACTTGGTGTGAATGTGATGCTGCATTTGTGCATAACAGGTTTGTCTTCATGATCTAGCGTCAGTCTAAAGTTATTGTAAGCTTGACATCATGTTTTGACACTGCCCGCCAAGTTGCATGAGGGACGAAGGCTCGTCTCTTCTTCGCCCAAAAGTTGGACGGATGTCTTGTCGAGTATATCAGACTGAAGAACATAGTTATGTGGATAAACTAGTCTTCGGATAATTCATTAACAGATAAGTGTAAGAGTTCCTTTCATTTCGCTTCAAGAGGCGAGTAGAATCCCCCCATCCGCTTCTTCAAACGAAATTAAAGGTATCCCAATCTGAAGGTCATACTAACAGAAAATGTTGATGTGGCAACAAGATTCGACATTCCTTTTTTGAATCTCTTCATCAGGCGTCTTCTCAAGGAAAGAAAGCTTACATTTCATGAGTTCGAATGGCCTCGTGTAGACTACAGCAACAGATCACACTTTGTGGACAAGCAGATGTAGAATGGTCACTATGCCACGCCAAATGAGCCTGGAAGCTTCGGTCAGGCTGAAATATTCTCGTTGAACTTATTTCCATTTTGAGTGAAAGTGTTGCGTGAAGAGATTCGAAGGTCGGTTGCACCAGAAGACGACGGCCGATTCCTTTTGACCAGCTGTCGATTGGCTTTACTAGACGATTCATGCTGACGCTGTTTCCGAGGCAATCTCCTTCGATGTTGATGAAAAGGTGCTAAACTTTCGTCCGTCATTTGACAAACATCATCAGATCGAGGTAACATCGTCACAACAAAATTCAAGCTGACGAGTCAAGAAATGAGTCCATTAAAGCCAACCGGGAGCTGGTAAAGAGGAATCCGCCGTCGTCTTCTGGTGGAACCGACCTTCGAATTTCTTCACCTAACACTTTCACTCGAAGTTAAAGTAAGCTCAACAATTATGAAACAAGAGATTCCTCTAAGCCCAACTTTTATTTGCATATATTACTGGAGTTTTCTTGATTCGTTAGCTTGAATTTGGTTGTGACGATGCTACCTTGCTCTGATGATGTCCTTCATATGACGGACGAAAGCTTAGTACCTTTTCACCCGAATCGAAGAAGATTGCTTCGGATACAGCGTCAACATGAATCTTCCAGTAAAGCCAATCGACAGCTGGTCAAGAGGAATCCGCCGTCGTCTTCTTGTGGAACCGACCTTCTAATCTCTTCACGCAAAACTTTCACTCGAAATGAAAGTAAGCTCAACAATAATGAAACAAGAGCTTCCTCGAAACCCAACTTTTATTCACATGAAATATTCTCATTAAATAATAAACTGAAGATGGTACAGGAGGGCGTTTCACGTGAGGAGGTGGCGAAACTTGGTGTCTCAGAGTAGAAGGCTTCTGAATCACTATCTCGTAATAAGAGATCAGCTTTGGTGAAGACACTTATACGTGTCCCAACGTCAGTCCCTAAGTGAGCCTTTCCAGAGTGCTGTTCGGCATCACATGGCATCATTTAGCTAAACGGACGCCAAGCTTTAGCCATTGTCTTATTTCAGGACCTTAATACGAAGTCTTCAATGATTCATGCTCCTGCCAGACTACCTGCCAGGACCTGTACTGATTTTTCTTCCCTATTTCGCAATAGGTGGAGTAAAGTAGCTCAAGAAGAAGAGGAGATGTCTTATTTCACATTTGTATCTGCCAATGAATCGCCATAGAATAACACCTCTAATCGCCTACATTACGCGATTTCTTCCGAAGATTCACTCCTACGATGAGAGAGGCTTTTTGGCTACTCTGTTCTTGGCATTTCAAGTAAACTTTCCGATTCCCGGGTGCAAGAAAATTGCGAATGGCAGGCTCAAAATGTGAAGTAGTGTCATTTGTGCTGCGATATCTTGCCGTTTTTTGGTCCATAAATCCTATCGAGAATGATGAAAAGGAAAATTGCAGTCCTCTTTCCTCTTGCCGCCTACAGTTTGGCATAGTAGAGGGGGCAAGTCTGGATCTCAACGATGGTCACGAAAGGTTCGGTCGCCTCCATTCCAGCCTACGGTAATTAGTTTTGCTAGTAAGAGAACGGGAAAGCCTTCGCACGCACACACACACAAACACATAAGAACAAACTCACGTATGATGCAGGATATAAAGTATTCGAAGTGGTTGGATGTCAAACATACTATTCTGAAAGAAAAGTTAAGCATTGAAGAAATATAAATGGAATAGGCAACGACTTCTACTTTTTATAGAAACTGCGTCCAAGTTGCGGAAGCGAGTGCAAAGCACGTATAAACCACACAGAACAGGTAAGAAACTTTTGCCGCCGCTTCAATGGCAACGGTTTCTCAGTTTGAACTTGACAAATGTTTCGAATGGTCTGCAGAATTCGAAGTTGACAACAGTCTGTCAAGCTGGGCAGAATCCTCTCCTATCCACGAATAGGCGTATCCCCTCGATAATTCTGCAGTGGGCACCGTTCAGTTGTCAGGACGCTTCGGAACTTAATCTCTCTAGACCCGTGTTTAGGTCTCCTTCAGATGAAACAGAATCGGGTATACCAAAATGTATTCACCCTATCGAAGTATCGCCGGATAGACTTGCAATATTCGAAGTTGGTTGACCTCGTTGTCGCAACTTGGTCCTGTTGTCAGGGCGACTTAGTGGAACGCACCTAGTCCGAAGTATTTTGCCATAGTAGTTGTCATAATTCCCACTATGGTGCGTTACATTAAGTCGCCATGACAACAAGACAAAGTTGCGACAACGAGTTGCGAAAGGAGACTACGAACATAGCACAATTTTCGTCTTCATATTTGCCATATTCAGTTCATTCAATGAATGCAAGCAAGATCACTCCTATTGACTGGTCAAGTGGGGTGAAAGTAAATCACATGAATGAAGCTCGAAAGTTGAATAGATCAAATCCTCTCAGAAAACAGTTCAATGAGACTGGCTGCCACGTTCTTCTATCACTTCTGGGTGACGGAGTGGCAAAACGACATCCAAACGCGGGAGGGGACCCGCAATCCCCGAGTCGCTAGCACAAACAATGTTGCTGTTTCCCAGTTTAGACGCTGATGCAATCATCCAGCCTTTGCTGTAGCCAATTTTAAAGGCTCCCAGAAGAGTATGCTTTATTGGCAGATCTCCATCAGAAATTGCTTACTCTTTTACTGGCAAGCGGCGATTTGGAATGCAACCCGGTGCAGATGCAGTCTAGACGGAGAAGAACTCACAAGACACGTGGTTCTCGGTACATCTTTTGTTGGCTGGCGCCAAGCTCGAGCCCCGAATCGCAGTCAGCCTTCTCCACAAACCGCGGGGAAAGGCATGATGACGTGGCCAGGTGTGCTCTTCTCCGTACACTTTCGGTGCAAAACTGCACAGGATATCGTACTTTCTCGGGAACGTTGGCTATTAGACACATTTGCGGGGGAAAACAGTCCAGCCAACTACTTGTCGGCAGAGGAAAGTTAATTTACACGCAATTAAGACCAACTCTAAACATGTATCGGCCTATAATCACGAACATGTAGCCAGCTCAGGTGGCATTAGACGCGATGTAACCAATTGGTCTGCGGAATCCCGCCTCCGTTCAGCCCATCCGGGAGGCAATTTCGCCAACTACGGCCTTGAACATATCTCTTTTGCTGAGAAACATTTTTCCAAAAAGACAAATTCCAAATAATCGCGTTTTTGAAGTCCTCCATCCGCGTTCTCCTTATTTCTCACAAACGCTTTAGTTTTACTTCAACCCACGGGATCTAAAAATAGAGTGTGAAAACGCAATCGGAGACTATGCATACATGTTAATCTGATTCCTGTGAGCGCAAGTCGGCATCTACAGAAGAGACTCGCTCTGACCACTTGTCATTCCTTTATGTCACTGAAAAAGCTGTAGAACCAGTAGGCTCACATACAGCATCTCCAAAGGGGCTCGGCCAAATTCCTGCAGGTTTACCTCCCTGCCAGACGCCCGAAGTCAGGAAAAAAGTCAAGGCACCACCAAACTTCAGGATGGAGATAGGATGAGCATTTGCTATTGTTTCCACAATGATTGGACTTGAGAAATCCAGAATGCAATTTGTGGTAATTGCTGCTGGCATTCTGCCAACCTTTACATACCCAGGCGAAGGGAATCAAGAACAATTTATTGCTGCCAAGTGTCATGCTATTGCTCCATCAAGCACTGAGTCTGTAGCGAATAACTCTTCCAGACCTCGCCTCCTGGGTGCTTTTTCCTAATATAAACAGCTCCTTGCTTTGCTGTCCCTCAAATACTCTGTCCTTCTTCAGAGTCGATTGGAAAAGGGTAATAGCCAATATATAAAGACCAAGATGTTGTGGCCTCTGTTATGGTCGCAGTCGCCTTTCGATTGATAGAAGTGGGTTGACCTCGTTGTCGCAACTTGGTCTTGTGGTCAGGACGACTATGTAGAACGCACCTAGTCCGAAGTCGTCTGCCATAGTAGTTGTCATGACTTCCAGCATCTGAAAATGGAATTGATACATTATCAAACGTTTCACCGGCATCACAGTCGGCATCATCAGTGAGTTTTGCCATTCGCCGCACCAAGCTGCGAACTAGTCAAAGAGACAAGACATGTCATGTAAGACTTGTCTCTTTGACGAGTTCCTATATTGGTGCGGAGAATGGCAAAGCTCACTGATGATGCCGACTACGATGCCGGCGAAACGTTTGAGAATGTACCAAATCCACTGTCAGATGCTGGGAATCAAGACAACTACTATGGCAGACGACTTCGGACTAGGTGCGTTCCACATAGTCTCCCTGAACACAAGACCAAGTTGCGGTAATAGCCAAAGTTTTCATCGAAATAACCGATGTGCGTCCTCAAACAGTTCTCTCATACCAAGCTACAATAGCTTCATATATATTATTTTCCTTGCATACACCAGTGTACATTGTATTTCAATACGGATGCTCAGATTCAACAGCTATTGTTTCCCTGAAAGCTGGAGTCGGAATGGTTCACTTGTAGATCATTTATATCTGCATTCACCCTGTTTCGTTTAAGGTGATAGGCAGCTTGGTAGTTGAATGTTGCCACAAAGATGTGAGTGAACCTTACGCTTCCAGTGAATTTCACATAGCCCTGCTTTCCAAAGGGTATTCTCGACGGGGGTCGACCTCGCGTTGGTCTCATCAACACCAATAGCGGAACTCAAACAATGGCAGTGCAGCGTCACCAGTCTCCTTGGCTTACAGGGCAGATTGGGATTTCAAAGAAGTTCTGGCATTTTTCCAGTTCACATACTATGATGGGATTGTCAATGAAGCAAATTTGTATTTGCTATAGCAATCGACTATGTTACTTATGAAGGAGACTGCGACCACACAAAAGGCCAAACCATCTTGGTCTTCATACCTTCGATTAAAGTATATTACTTATGCTTCGCTTATAAGTAGCTTTTCGAGATTATCAATAGATCATTTATTTATGAAGTGTATTCGCCCTGCCAGCGATGTTACGTTCTGTAACATTTATTTATTATTCGTTTGTTAGTAGGTTTTAGAGGTTACCAATCCTCTTATCATCTAAACTAAATAGGTTGAATA